CTCTCTCTCTCTCTCTCTCTCTCTCTCTCTCTCTTCTCTCTCTCTCTCTCTCTCTCTCTCTCTCTCTCTCTCTCTCTCTCTCTTTGGGCTAATGCTCGGTCAATCTTGTTTACCTTCTAAAAAGGAGCTTTTGCAGCCAGGTGTGATGGCACACACCTTTAATCCCAGCACTCGGGAGGCAGAGCCAGGCAGATCTCTGTGAGTTCGAGGCCAGTCTGGTCTGCGCCAAGTGAGATCCAGGACAGGCACCAAAACTACACAGAGAAACTCTGTCTCCAGGGGAAAACAAAACAAAACAAAAAATGTAGCTTTTGGATTAATTGATTCTTTGTATTGTCTATTTCTGTTTCACTAATAGCTGCTCTGGTTTTTATTTTATTTTTCCCCATCTACTGGATTTGGGTTTGTTTTGTTCTTGTTTTTCCATATTCTTGAGTTGTACCATCAAATGATTTATTTGTACTCATTTTTATTTTTAATTGTACTATAGTAGTGTGAATGTAATTGGCCCCCATAATCTCACAGGCAGTGCCACTATTAGGAGATAGGGCTTTGTTGGAGTGGATGTGGCCTTGTGAGAGGAAGTGTGTCACTGTGGGGGAAGGTTTTGAGGTTTCCTATGCTCAGGATACTGCCCAGTGTCTCAGTTGACTTCCTGTTGCCTGCAAGATGTAGGACTCTCAGCTACTTCTCCAGCACCACATCTGTGTGCCATGCTCCCCACCATGATGATAATGGACTGAACCTCTGAAACTGTGAGGCCCTAAATGTTTTCCTTATGAGTTGCTGTGGCCATGATGTCTTTTCACAGCAATAAAAACCCTAACTCAAACATGTACTTAGAATTATAACTTTCACTCTTAGAACTACTTTTAATGTGTTCCAGAGGTATTGTTGTATTGTATTCATTTACCAAGAATTTTTAATTTCTTAGTTTCTCCTTTGATCCATTCTTCAGTAGTGAATTGTTTAATCTCCATGAGTTTGTGTAGTTACTAGAGATTTGTTTGCTGTTGATATTAACATTTATTGTATTGTGGTCACATAGAGTATATGGAATTATTTCAGTCTTTATGTATTTATTGAGATTTTTTTGTGTCCCAGTATGTGGTCTATTTTAGAGAAGCTTCCATGGAGTGCTGAGCAGATTGTATATTCTTTGGTGTTTTGGTAGAATACTATGTAACTGTTAGGCCCATTTGATATGTTATATAATTGAATTCTGATGTTTCCTTTTATTTGTTGTCCAGATGACTTATCTATGGGAGAATGTGGGGTACTGAAATCTACTACTACTAGGGTATTGGCTACTTCTGAGTTGGGATAAATTTGTGTCTTGAAATCCAGTAGTACACTTTTTATGAAATTGGGTATGCCAGAGTTTGGTGCATATATGTTTAAGATTATAATGCCTTCTTCATTGATTTTGTCCCTTGATTGGGATAAAGTGTCCTTTATTTCTTCAGATTGGTTTTGATTTGAATTCTATTTTGTCAGATGCGGGGATAATGATGCTTGCCCATTTTCTGGTCCTGTTTTTGGAAAACTTTTTTTCCATCTTTCCACTCTAAGGTGATGCCTATTCATGAAGATGAGGTTCCTGTAGACAACAAAATGATGGATTTTTTTTCCTTAATTCATTCAACTAACCCGTGTCTTTTGACTGGGGATTGAGGCCATTAATATTGAAATATGTTTCTATTGTTTGCTGTCATTTTGTTGGTTTGGGGCTGTTAGTGTTCTGAGGGAGACCTGCTACCTCTTTTTATCCCCAGGGTACTCTTGAGTAGGGAGAAATGAGGAATATGTAGATAGAAATGTAGAGGGAGAGAGGCAGAAACACAGGATAGCCTTGGGAGGGCCTGGGTCAAAACTCACGGCCCCTTCTGTCTCTACTAAAGGGCTTTTAAAGGAATGCCAAGGGGTGGAACAAAAGACCTCCTCCCAGCACAGCCGAGGGCAGACCATCCCAGACTCCTGGTGACCACGCCTGTGGTCAAGCCATTCCCTAAAATGCAGCCCTGCTGTGTAAAGCAAGCTCAGATCTCACGGAAGCTTTTGTAGGCTCCCACAGTGTTCTTAGGGGGTAGTTTATGTTTTAGTAATTATATCTTCATTTTCTTTCTGTAGCCTCTTGGCTAATGCTGAGTCCTCTCTTGGCTATAAAGTATTACACTAGGAAAGTAGCCCTACAGTTAGGGCTGGAAACAGATCTCACCAGCTGAGAATTACCCTGGACTTTTCATAGTTATCAGCATGATGTCAGCAGGTGGATCAAATTCTGAAGCCATGTGCTTGTCCACTGCTGCCGAGCCCAAAAACTCTGAAGCTCCAAGAGCGTAGATGATACAGTACTATCCCTCCAGAAAGAGCCTTGAAAGTACAGAGGCAGTATCTGCCTGTATCATTACCAGTGGCTGTCAGTTGTCTGTGTGGCTCCTGTGTCCGCAGCACACTTAGGAGACATCGCCAGCTAAAGCAGCTTGCCCAGATGATAAAATCTGGGTCAGGGACGTGAGAAACTGCCCAGCACACAGAATGCAAAGCAGAGTGCGGCCAGCAGAGGCCACTGATAAGCAAAGGAGGAAACCAGTCACAGGAAGACAGAGGAGCCGGACAGTAGATATGTAAGCAACACAGACCCAACCACAGCACAGACCCGGAAAGAAGGAAGCCACATGTTCACTGACCTCCCCATGCATGGCAGTCTCCAGTGTTCAAGGACCCAGAACGTAACCGCCTCAGCCCCTCATCTTTTTATCCCTCACACGAGTCCTTTGTTTTCCCACATGGTTAACACGATTTTTACAGCACTGTTTTCAGTTATTAATTAATTAATTAATTTATATTTATTTATTTTGTGTTTTTTGAGACAGGGTTTCTCTGTGTAGTTTTGGTGCCTGTTCTGGATCTC